TGTTAATTATTTTCTGGGGTCCTGAGTCACTTTTTAAAAAACGAAATAAGGCCGATTTTAATTAAGAACCAGCAACCTGGAAAACTCCCACCTCACAACCCGCAACTGGCGACTTGGAAATTGGCAACTTGCAACTGGCAACTGGCAACTAGCAACTGGCAATTCGCAATTTGCAACTCACAACACGAAAATACGCAAACTCCCAACTCGCGTCTCGCATCTCACAACTTGCAAGGTCGCTAAAAAAGTCGCAACTCGCAGTTTAGTTTATCTCCTGGAGTCCTGTTCTCGACTCCAGTGCTTTTAGAAAGGCTTCATCGATGACATAGGTAAAATCGGGGAAAAAGAATAAAGAGAGAAAAAAAGTAATCAGCAAAATGCACGTCATGTCATGCCTTCTCCTGTTGATACCTTGGTCCTGACTACTACTACTACTACTACTACCACTACCACTACCACTACCACTACCACTACCACTACCACTACCACTACCACTACCACTACCACTACCACTACCACTACCACTACCACTACCACTACCACTACCACTACCACTACCACTACCACTACCACTACCACTACCACTACCACTACCACTACCACTACCACTACCACTACCACTACCACTACCACTACCACTACCACTACCACTACCACTACCACTACCACTACCACTACCACTACCACTACCACTACCACTACCACTACCACTACCACTACCACTACCACTACCACTACCACTACCACTACCACTACCACTACCACTACCACTACCACTACCACTACCACTACCACTACCACTACCACTACCACTACCACTACCACTACCACTACCACTACCACTACCACTACCACTACCACTACCACTACCACTACCACTACCACTACCACTACCACTACCACTACCACTACCACTACCACTACCACTACCACTACCACTACCACTACCACTACCACTACCACTACCACTACCACTACCACTACCACTACCACTACCACTACCACTACCACTACCACTACCACTACCACTACCACTACCACTACCACTACCACTACCACTACCACTACCACTACCACTACCACTACCACTACCACTACCACTACCACTACCACTACCACTACCACTACCACTACCACTACCACTACCACTACCACTACCACTACCACTACCACTACCACTACCACTACCACTACCACTACCACTACCACTACCACTACCACTACCACTACCACTACCACTACCACTACCACTACCACTACCACTACCACTACCACTACCACTACCACTACCACTACCACTACCACTACCACTACCACTACCACTACCACTACCACTACCACTACCACTACCACTACCACTACCACTACCACTACCACTACCACTACCACTACCACTACCACTACCACTACCACTACCACTACCACTACCACTACCACTACCACTACCACTACCACTACCACTACCACTACCACTACCACTACCACTACCACTACCACTACCACTACCACTACCACTACCACTACCACTACCACTACCACTACCACTACCACTACCACTACCACTACTACTACTACTACTACTACTACTACTACTACTACTACTACTACTACTACTACTACTACTACTACTACTACTACTACTACTACTATTACTACTAAAAATAAAAGTAATATCTAATACTTCTGTGGTGCATTTTAACATAGGTATATGATCTAATGCGGATACACAAAAAAGAGAGTTTTTCTACTTACTGTATGTACTGAAACTATTCAATAATTTAGCATGACTAAAAACGAGGAAGAGATAAAAAAGGAAATAAGAGTAGAAATAAAAGAACCTCTGATAATTTAAACCAAGTCACTGTAGGCTTCTCTAAACTCAGAGGTGCTAAAGAGTTTCTTATAAACTTATCAAAATCCTTTTCTGTACTAATAATTGCCCCCACAGGGATTTCGCCCAGAAGGTGAAATCCCGAGGAGGCACTCTAGTAACTCGCGCGTGTATTAAGGAAAGTACTTACAGCTGAAATATACAGTCATACAGTCAATATAGAAAAAATCTCGATACGCTTGAACAGGGGTCGCGAGGAATCGGTAGGTAATGATGACGTTTCTATTGTTTGCGCCCGCAAGTACGAAATGGTTAGGATGACCTAAAGACAGAACATCCCCAAGAGACCGCTTAGGTAGATTTTGTGACATTTATTGTTCAGTCATACTTCGACACTCTTTTGCGTTACGCGTTATCAGTGACATTCTGTGGAGTAGTTGTTTCAGTGAAAGTTATGGACCAAAATTTTAACGACACTCGTTAAGAGCAGAAGACGTTATCAGGTGCGTATAACTGTGTATATATAAACACTTGGAGAGTTTGCCAGACACGAGTTCACAAATCTTTCATTGGAAACCTTGCCAGACCCTCTTTCTCTCTCTTTGACCGGAATAAGACTCAGCCTCAAACAAGCAAGAGGAGTGAACAACGGCTAGCTTCTCACTAGCAGAACGATGGACGATTACAGAAATTCGCCGACAATCAAATTCTGTGCTGACTTATCAGGGGCACCCAATGAGAATATAGTTCAAAACCACTTAAACGTAGCATTGTTAAACGTATTTTAGTCTTTAAACGGTATATATAGGCACATTTTTATCCCCCCAAAATTTTTCATCTGTTCGGATTTCCTAGCTGAAAGTCTAGTGATCCGAAAATTATAGGGATCAAAACTTACCTTTTCGAAAATTCCAGCCAGAAAAAAGGTTCCCGAAAATTCTAGGTGACCTTTTTAGAGGAAAAATCTGTTAAAAATAGGTAATTAGACCAGTTTTTAGATGTTCAAAAATCCTAGGAGAGGCAGGCAAGTCAGAAATTTTACAACAAATGTTCCGAAAATTCTAGATCTCAAATCGTCTCCCGAACAGATATTTTCCGAAAATTGTCGTTAGGTGCCCCTGACTTATTCCCTGCTGACAGATATAAAGTTTAAAGTAAGACTAGAATTCGCGAGTGTGAATTGATCAAACGTCCTTTTCATTCTAAGGCTTTCTTTCCGGCAAATAAAATGAACTGAATTTAAAAAGTGAAAGAGAAATAGCGAAAAATTCAACTTCTAATTAAATCTTTTCTTATGGTTTAGAATAAACTATTCTCGAAACTGAGAATGTTTTGATCAAAGCTGTTTAAATCGAACTGAAACGGTGCATGGAACCGTTGCGTTTCCTGTATTTATCTCGCCTACTGTATGTGAAAATCTTCATTATGAATCGGTATATTTCAAAGAGCTACACAACTGCAAGATTAAGAACTTAGCAGAGGGGTCTTGCAAAAAACCTCCCACATTGCACCAAAGGTTATAGTAAGTGCATTGTCATAAATTTATCAGGTCGCTTAATTTAAATACGCTGACTCGAGACTTTGAATAGCCTTGAAGATATCACAGCAATTTTGTAGCAAATACGAAACTTCACAGGTAACCAATGGAGTGCATGCGGCACTGGCGATATATGACAGAATCTTGGCGTATGGTTGATAAGTCGCGCTGCAGAATTCTGAAGACTTTGTAATTTAGAAAGATGCACAGCTGGTACACCATGGAAGACAATCACAATTTAATCAATGCGTGGATCATGATCACGTCTTGCACAAGGAATTTAGCCGAGGTAGGAGTGAAGAACTTTCTAATTGTCAAATTGCCCTCGCGGGGATTTCGCCCAAATGGCAATATCCCGAGGAGGCACTCTAGTAGCTCGCGCATATATTAAGGGAAGTACTTACAGTTGAAAGATAGATAGTCTGTATTCATCATTTTCAAATAGATCATAATGCACTTTGTTTACCCCCCAGTTTTGCAAAACGATTGTTTCCAATTTCTCCTGGGTATTACGGTCGTCCCAGGAGAAATTGAAGACAATGGTTATGCAAAATTTTAGGGGGCAAACAACTGTTCTAGAGAACCCTAGCAACGAGGTTGTCCCTCTCCCCGATTTTTTTTTTTTTGTCCCCGGCCTGAATCTAAATAACGCTGTTCGCGACGCCAACCATTTATTACATTTATTGCAGTCCGCCTCTTTTATTTCTTAATTTATTTACTATTTGGTTTTCAATGCCATATAGTATTCAAATATGCTATCGCTATAGTGCCGTTGTTTGTAAGTCTGCGTACGGATACTTAGGTGTGGATTACGAACAAATAACCGCCGTCACGTGTTCCTGACCGAGATATTACCAATCACTCGGGGTGCTGCCGTGGCCGTACGGATATAATGGGAAGTGAAATCGAAAGTCCTCGTCCTTAGGAGCTACGAATATGGGAACACGAAGGTCCTCATACGGGTGCCGTGGGGATAGGAGGTGAAAGCCCGAGGAGAAAGTTAGGCGAACAGTCACATTGCTTTTACCCGGCCCGTATACTATTTGCGCAGCCCCTCCAAGGTTTCAAGGGAAAATCTTTAGCGAAATAGAGTGAATCTAAAAGATATAAGCCTTCCTGGATAAACTAAAATTTGTGTTAGAATAAAGGTTGTACGCACTGCTGATGGTACAGGGAGTAGATCTCTCGGTAACTAGTTCACTTCACTGCGGTCGCATTCCGCTGAGGCGTTGAGATGTTCCTGGTGCCGTAGCTAGTCCACCTCCTTCTGTCCTAGCTGAGCAGCACAATCGGCACTCACGTTTCATTTGTGGCACAGGCTAAAAGTCTGGGGGTGTGGCCCCACCCCCAAAATCACGATGGTGGTCTATTATCAATGCTGTGTTCTGATTGGTTGAGCTACTACCAGGCTATATGTTATAGCAGAACCCCATAAGGGTTTCTGGTCATAGCCCACTAGTAGAGAAAAGCGCGGGCTTTTTGGCGGCAAAAAGGATTTAAGTCTAGCTTTAACTAGCTATAATTTTTTTTTATTCTCGATATTTTTGACCAACTAGTTGGATTAAAACAATTATTCCTCTCACCCTCATGGCCTCTGAGTCCCCAGTCTTACTCTATTGTAAAAAGTAATAGGTCCTGGGTACGACGACTTCAACATGGCGGCAGGGGCAGGTATTTTTTCCATTTCTTAATGTTTTTAACCCTGTTTCCGTTTTCCGTTCCTCCATGATCGAGCCAGCCCAACGGCAAGGAAAAAAACAAAACGCTCGAACTCACATTTTACGTTAGTTTTAGGTATATATTATTAACTAGTTGTAGCTTTCGCTAAGTGCCAACGATACATTTTAGTCCCAATGTTTATAAAATCATTTTACCTGCTGAGGCGAGAATTTCGACTACAATCACTCCTCGTTCCTACATTTCTGCCATGATCTTGGTCTTAAACTCGCTCTTATTCTTCTGCTTAGACATTTTTGAACCTTAAACTTGTCGGGTTTCAAACAGCGAAAGGGAAATAACATTTATAGTTTAGTGCGAACATGAAATAGCAAGTTGTAGTTCGTACAAGTACAGTAGTGTGGCAGAGAACAATGTCCGAACTTTGAAGATTCGTTTGTTTTCAACAAAGGACATCAAAAGTCAAGTGAAACTACATGTGAAATCTAACGCCACTAAAATCCCCAGGGAATCTACTCCTACTTTTCACAGCACGATCGAGAATTCATTAAGCTGGCCGCCTCGCAAGCCGACCGTATTCACTCGGCTTGCTCGTTGGCAATTAATCTTGGGGTACAGTTGCAAGAGGCGCAACGCCGTGTGCGATTGCAGACTGGAAGACTGTAGTAACATGCCCTCAAAACTATCCTTGTCCCTAAATTTCAAGTCTTCTCAAAATCTTGGGACAGCAGTTTTTAAAGCTTCCGTTCAATCTAGGCTGACTCTTCTCATGCAATTTTCGTCATCACTCTGATCGAGTACACCTGAGGAGGCGGTATCCAAGATAATCACTTGAGGTGGTCCCCCACCGCCCCACTTGTAGTGTAACGTCTGCAATGTTGAATTTAAATGTACATACATTCATCTGCATTACTAACGATGATGATGATTAAATTGCAGGTGCTATATTTGTAACATTGGCAATATTTTCTGGGCGCCGAGATCCAGAATGGTCAATTTCTTCCAGCCATCTAAAATATGCAGAAATTAAGCAACTTTTGGATAATGCCAGAACTGCTGGCTTCACCTATGACCCTATCCGAATGCCACCACGACTCGGGTACAAGGGATTTGTAGTGAAGGCCTCAAACATAAATAAAAGGGAATTAATTGTGGGTCCTAACACAGTGAAACTGCAGCAATTACTGCTGGAGACGGCACCAGGTGACGTGCTGCCCCAAGGACTCAAAGATGAAGTTTTGGCTGAAATCAATTCAGGAAATGTCAGGCCAGGAGATCCTTAACTTGAGGATATTCATTTAGTGAATGGGTTCAGATAGAACAATACCACTGGGTCACTTATCTATTACAACTCATTTGCAGATCATCACTTTTTCAATAATTCATAGAACCTTTATTGCAATAGTTTAAAATACAGTAAAGTCAATGTTATAGTAAGTTTAAAGTAGAAACCGTTGCAATAACAGAAATAGCTAAAAAATATAGATATTGTTAATTGATTTTTTTTTATGAAGGAGAACAAGAACATCAATTAGTACGTAACTGCATATTAAATAAAGTTAAGACAAAATGTCTGTTGTGAGACAATGTCATGTCTGCATAGGTTCTCCAGGGTCTGTAGGCTAACTTGCTGAGGAAACTAGTGGCAAACTTTGAGCCACTAGTTTAAGCTAAGTTATAGGTACAAAATGCTTCAATATGAACTATAGACTACCTTCAAAGAGTAACTCATAAAGGATGTAGAAAAATTTGGGTTACTTTACTTTAAACTTAAAATTTAGCTGAACTCCAACTTTGCAACTGTCTGTTCTTAAAACTAATGCATAGCTTTTTTGTTAGGCATTATTATTGCTATTAAAATTTGGTATCTTAAAAACTTAATTTATTTGCAATGTAAAATCAAACTCCTTGCATTATATTACTCTTTAATTCTGGATAGAAATCTAGCTGTGATCTTGGAGAGATGCAAGCCCATTAGAGAGCAATAACCAATAAACACAATTCTACTATTTGTAATCTGTATCAAAGATGACGGCTGCTAAAATCTTTTTTATTCCCTTTAAAAAGTATAAAACAGGTTAGTCCAGGCATAAGTTTGGAATGACTAAAATACAAAAAAATAAAAGTAAATAAAAATAACCAAACCACTGCCTCAGCTCCACAACTTAAAGATGATGTCCTTGAAACCTTTGTCATTGTCATTCGTGTTGAATATACACATTTTTTTAAATTATTGCACATAATGCAGATGGGGGCATAGCCCGCGTTTCATAAACAGTTACATGTATCAAAATTCTAACATGACTCCAAGGTTTTTTCACGACTCCAGTCTTGCAATTCCCTGAAGAGACTTGAGTACCAAGAAAACCAAGCCAAATATAGCAAAAAAATGACCAGAAAGCCTTGGAGTCATGTCAGAAATCAATATTACTATATTGGATGTGGCTATTACATATTGTATAAAACATGTTGTTCATGTCATTCAACAAAAGTAACATTTGATGTAATGGAGATCTTTGAATTTATACACATCCACAATGGAATTTAGCTGATTTTCTCTGCACAGACTTTAGAGTGAGTCCTGTGCACATGACGTGATACCAATCATCACAGTCATCACACTGCACCCAGTCCACCAGCTTGTGTTTGTTATGGGGATGAATGCAGTCCACAGAGGCACATGTATTGTACATAAAACCGTCATCATCCTGATCATCACCAGAATCACTAGTCTTTGACGTCTTTTTAGCTTTTCTGTGTGTCAGGATGGACTTTCTTGGTCGTTTGTTAGCTGTTAAAAAAAAAAAAATAATGAAAAGTTTAGTGAAGGGTGCCTAAGGTGACCAGAGTCAAACTTTAACAAAATTTCTAAATTTTAATTGCATTAGTAAAATGCAGGAGAAGGTAGCATGTGAAGGTTCTGCCAAAGAGGTTTTGTTTGAATGTTTCACGAGAGTTTGTCCACGGACTTGGGGCCTGTTTACAAGGAGAGAGGGTTACCCTTGTGCTGGGGTTACCTTGGTACTTAAGCTCTGGTTTAGAAGCAATTTCACAGGTAGGGCCATTACCCTATCACCCAGGTCAACTTTTTACTAGCTCTGTTGAGCAGATGTGTTTTGCCATGCATGACATTCTTTTTAACATCCAAGATTTGAAATAAGACTTAAAGTTCTCCATGGAAAACACAAATAAATGCAAAAAAAAAAGAAGAAGAAAAAAAATGGGAAAATACACTACCACATAATGATCCTACAAAATGATGACTTTTCTCTTACCTTTTTTAACCAGACTGTTTTGTTCCTCTTTGGTCTTGGGTCTCTTGGAACTGCATTCTTTACTAACATGTGTCGAGGTCTTATTTGATGAAACAGTAGTGATGTTAACAGATGTCTGATGATCTAGGGTGTTTGAGGTTGTAACTGCATCATCAGATAACGCAGGGGATTCAGGAAGTTGAAGAGAAAATATGTCTTCATCGCTATCCTCCATAGCTTTACCTGCTGTTGCTGCATATGCCATGAGGTCATCATCGTCACTGTGTTCTGAGTCACTTACAAAATGCTGCCTCCAACTTTGTCTACCACGTACTGAACCAGGTAGTCTGAGAAAGAATAACTACCAAGTGGTCACGACATGATTTCAAACTTTATTTTAAAATGCACTTGTCTGAAAAATTAATTAGGTGCATTAAACAAGGCCCTATGAGTGACTATTGATGTAATGTCAAATCCCGCTATGGCTTTTGTTTTATAACATACATACCCATGTTTATTGTAACCAATTACATACAGCGAGATAATAAAGCAGTTTTCAGAAGTCACTTGGGGCTTCTTTTTTTTATACCTTTTGTCAAGTAGGAACTGATTTTAACAATATTAATCTATTTGGTATTAGTCTAGGCAAACAGTCTAGAAGGCACACTAACATTTGCTTCTTTAATGGTACCCACTCAATGACAAAAAAAAGCTGTAACATTTTATAGTAATTTTCCATTTCGAATTGGGATCTTGTGTTTGCTTTCTTTCAGAAGTCAGTTTTTATTTCAGCATGATATACTCATGTGCATGTACAGTATTACACAACATTTAGTATGTTTCTTTAAGGGAGCCCATTTTTCGATCAACAATTGAATATTATTTTTCACTCACACTTGTGCCAGTCAGTCTGCATGTAAACCCGGCACAAGTGTGTAGCACAGACTCATTCTGTTGGACATCATCTCATATTTGTGCATGTAAAAATACATACCTACAAAAGTCTTTTGCTGATGATTCAGGTAGCTGCCCAGGTGTTTCTGGGGTTAGGAAGGCCGACAGATTTGGGCCATTAGCTACTGGCAGCAAAGGAGTCTTAGCACCAAGGTTTTGTGACCATGGACTCAAATTTGGACTTGGTGTCTGTAAAAATACAAAATGGATGGGGGAAAATGTATTACATTTTTGAATTTTTCTCTAAATGCTATACTTTTCATAATTATAATATTTTTTATAGTTACTGCATTCCCTTAATAGATGCTCACATTGTTTTAAACTTTTGGCTTATTCAAATGAGGATCATTTTCCCTTTCAGTAACTGTAATGGGCAGAAAAGGACTGAAGGGATATTACACGTACTTGATGATCTTAAAGATGATACAATGTACTTGACTGCGGACAGCAAGAGGAGCCCATAATCCTTATCTCCAGCCCCCAGTTGTTCAGAAGTTGGATAGCGCTATCCACCGGATAAATCACTATCCAATGGATCAGTATTAGGGAAAACAATTGTGCTATCCAGTGGATAGTGATTTATCCAGTGGATAGAGTTATCCACCTTTTGAACAACCGGTTTCTATTATGCATGCACCACATGTATGTAACAAACTTAATTTGGAGTTTCACTTATAAAGAATGAATTGGAATGTATTGAGTGCCATCTGATCACAGGCATTTGGACCTCCTATCACTTGCATTTAATCACGCATGTTTTGACCATCTACATGTACCACATGAAACTTACACAAAGTGTAGCATTTGAGCAAAAGTGTTTTGACCTTTTATCGTTGTTGCCCACACTCCAAATAACCTTCCATTATTACCAGTAATAAAAGGTCTTGATAATAATTATTGTACATGTATGTAAGATTGGTGAAGTTTCAAGCTGGAGAGATCAAGTTTTCAGATCATATAACTGTTCTATGTGCAAGTTTCATAATTCGGCTGCTGTGTAACACCAACATCTACTTTAACATTAACTGTATCCAATAGTTTAAACATGACTCTCACAACAAATACGTTTGTATTGTGAAAAAGCTGGGGACAGGACCCTGGGCAGGTAGTTTTGGTTTATTGCAACTTTAATTATTACTAATGTCATTCACCTTTCTTTGAAACTCTGGAGAAGAACACACTTGGCCTCCAGGACTCTTCTGTTTATTCTTGTTTGGTGGAGTTGATGGATACTTCTCAAACTGTATGAATACATGATTAGAAAGAATTATTTTCTTTTTCAGACTGTGGTAAGTCAACTGCTGTAGCTTAGTTGGTAGAGCACTTAGCCTGCGTCGCAGACATAATTTAACCTTAGTTAGTAACTTCTACAGTACAGCATCCATGTTAATCCGCTTCAAACTAGTTAGCGAAAACTGCGTTAACGTTAGTCTGTTTACCTAAAGTACTTCAAAAACGTGCAGTGCCAAAGATCCTTGTTTTGTGCCCCCAACAGACTCAACAAATTACCAAAAATGCATTTTGAAATTTCTTTCATACTGATTGGCAAATCAACAATGGTGCATACTCGAATCCTGGTACACAGGTGGGGACTCAGAACAAGGATTTTGGAACTGTTTTGCAGACAGACTTGACAAGAGTTCAGTTTCGTCTGTGGTACAGGCTATAAAGTTGAACATGTACATATAAAGCACTTAACTGCAGAGCCTGATATTGCAGATTCGATTTCCGCGACTGACAATACTTCAGGTCTTAAAATAACTGACAAATTCTGTAAAAGTTAATGCCTGTTTGCCCTGCAAACAGCTAGGCCTTTGAGTTGCTTGGATGTTGTCCAAGTAAAATGGCAGACGGATGGGGAAGTACATGTACATTGTAGAAATGGTGTCCTCCAATTAGCACTTAATTTGTGCTAAATACATTGACACTCAAATAAAGTGCATTTATATTTCCTTCTTATGCTGACCGTCATGCAATATATTTGCCGCTTGCTACGTGAAAATTATACTCTGTTTCAAAATATGTCAACATCTGCAACTGGCATTAAGAGCCATCACAGGTCTCTTACCACCAGCATACCTGCAAATTTGAAATCAAGAAAAAATCACAAACCTGCTGGTTGTCAAGGCTGAGATGGCCTCTGTTGGCAACAAGCCCTGTTCTAATATTGCAGCAGTATCTCAGGTAGAACCAGCCGCCATGTTGCAGACAGGTCAGCAACAAGATGAGAACTATTTTGTCAGTACAGGTTCATGTATAATTATTCCTTTTCACACATATACACTGTACTTTTGTTTTGAGAGACCTCCTCAGTTAGTTGAATCAACTATTTACATATAAGTGTCCCAAACTCCACACAATCAAACAGGAATTGAAATAGTTTTCTTCCTGTTCCCACTTGTTTCTACTGTATATCCAAAAGCAGTGAATTGTAAATAGTCTCGGTTTCCAAGGTCCATGTGAACAGTGCAAAAATATTGAATTTTCCCATGTGAACAAAGTGTCTGGTCATTTCAGCAGGTCAAAAATTCACCTGATGCCATGTGAATGTACACATAGCTTAAAATGAATGTACTCAAATAGACTACTTACCTTAAACCGAAACTCAGAATCTGGCTGCTGAGCAACGACCCCAGGAGGCAAAACTGCCCCTTTTAAATGTCCAAATGTCACAGTATCACCAGGGTTAAGATTACATGAATCAGAAATCTTGACGTCATTAATATAAGTACCATTTAGGCTTGTATCTGAGATTTTAAATGTATGTTTCCCTGTAGCA